GTACAGAACGCGTTCAACGACGTGCGTCGAAGTACATATTGAACCTACCGTTCTTCTGTGACATCAGCTATAACCATCGTCTCTCAATATTAAATCTAATACCTCTGTGTTACTGGCACGAGTACCTAGACATATTGTTCCTTTTCAAATCACACCATAACATTATTAACCTAAGCAGCGACATACAACCTCACCCTCAAAATTCAAGTCAACGTACCCGATCTACAAACCCTAACTGTCTACAATTTCAGACTTCAGCATGCATGCAAAACATCTACCTATCAAAAATCATATCTAATAAGGACTACTAGAGTCTGGAACACACTGCCAATGGATTTAACTATTAATAGCATGGCAACTTTAAAGGACTTTAAAAATAAGTTATTAATCTATTATAAAACAGCACTAGATAAATGTTATGACGTTGACGATCCACGAACATGGAAATCGGTTTGCTTAAAATGCAACCAATTATATTTAGTTCATATTATATTTAAAAGGATTAGGTATCTTACCATCCCTTCAATGACCACCCTTAACTCATCCTGGAAATTAAGAGCAGCCCCATTTGCTTCTCCAGGTGTCCTTTCAATATGGACGAGTTTGTTTAAGTCTTGTTTGCACTGCTTGATGAGATATGATCTAGGAAGTTCATCTCCTCCTGGACAACAGGACAGTTCATGGTAGGAAGCATCACTGATGCAAAATTTGTCCATGATATGTAATGTCTCCTGAATTTTTTGCTGCTCTTCAGTGGGCAGATCTTTGTAGGATTTCCTTCCTTTTTCTCCAAATGAGAGAAAATACGGTTTCCCCAAGTGATCGACCAATTTAACTGTGTCTAACTTTAGCCCAAAGGATTCACTGAACCACAATGCCTGTTCTACTCGCGTTTCCAAGGTTTTAAGCTTGCGTTCTTGCTGCCATTTTCCTACCTCAGTAATGCATTTCCCTTTGTCCTCAAATTTTCTTTGAGGGGAGATCTTTTCAATGACACTATATAAACTTTCATTTTCTTGCTTCAATTTATCTATGTCCACTTTAGCTTTATCAATTGTTATCTGCATTTTGTTTACCAGCGCCGACGTCTCGTTTTGTTTGATATTTAATAGGGCATTTTGACTTGTAACCTGTGCGTTGGCCCTTTCGAATTGTGCATTGCTGAATTGTGAGGCTGAATTGTGAAGGGAATATCTTTAGCTTCATCGCCTAATTTTCGAATATAGGGCGAGTAATGCTCAGTATCAACAACTATATCTTTTTTAAATTTTGTTTTAGAATATTTTTCCAATGCATTGGCCATAACCACATATGATATATTGTTCGAATTTCGCGCACGATCGCGCTAAAGTGCACCGGAAATAAACAAAATAACAGGAAGTAAAATACAAATGCATAGGACGCTGAGCAGAAATAGCGCAGCTTCAAATTTTACAACTCGACAGAAAGCGCTTTCTTCGAGCTTCAATTTGATACCTTGGGATGCGAGTAATGTGAATTTTAAAGCGAAAATTTTTGTCATCAAAGACAGAGCATCCAATGTTTTTGTGCCGAAAGCAAAGTATTGATGTTTTCCTGTTGTATTGTGCAAAACATCGTTTATTATGCGTTAAATGGAAACATCCAACAACACACAATTTGGTAGAAAAATGGATCATGGTGTTGTTCCAAAGTTCAACTTCAATATTCTTGTTGTCCAAATTGACTAACGATCCCGAGTTACCTGCTAGTGTGCTATGAATACCGTGAATTCGACGAATTTAATAGGAATTATTAAGCAAGTATGTCAGTAAAGTACACATTTCGGTCGGAAACATATGCTTTGTTCAGATAAACCTCATCATTTGATGGCGTACAGCTCCAAAAGAGTTGCGCAAATTTGAATTCTTATCATGGTAAACTTCTGTTTAGCTTTTTGTGAAGTTCATATAGTAATTTATAGTCATGTTTGGACGCCATGTTTTTTTAGACTGCGCATGCGCACTTATGCATGACGCGAATTTCTGGCGATGCTAAGCAAAACAAAACCTCGACTGTTTGCTGATGATACAAACCTAACAGCTGCGGGAGAATCTATAAATGATGTTGAAGCTGCAATGAATTCTGATTTAGAAAACCTTAGGAAATGGTTAATTGCCAATAAACTAAGTTTAAATGTGGCCAAAACAGAATTTATACTGATTGGATCTAAATCAATGATAAAAAGTATCTCAAATAGACAACCAAACATTATCATAGAAAACAAACCAATTAAACAAGTATATGATTGCAAAACTCTTGGAGTGACTGTTGACCAGCATTTGTCTTGGAAGAATAATGCTGAAACAATTTGCAAGAAAATAACATCCGGGATATCAGCTCTTCGTCAAATAAAAGAATTTGTTGAGAAAGATACACTTGTCTCTGTGTATAATTCTATTGTTCGCCCATACTTTACATATTGCTGTGAAGTATGGGATGTGTTTGGTGAAACACAATCAAAACGCCTCCAAAAGCTCCAAAACAGAGCTGTTCGAATCATAATGAATATGAGCAATGATGTAGATCACCTGGTTGCTTTAGATGCTTTAGACTGGAAGCCACTTAAAACGGAAAGAATAAAGGCTAAGTCCAAACTGATGTTTAAATTGTTGAATAAAATGGGTCCTAAATCACTTACTGATTTATTTACTTTCAAAAGTGAAATGACAAATTATAAACTTCGAGATGTGGAAAGTACTCTTTGCTTACCACAGCCGCGTACAAATAGCTTGAAAAAAAGTTTGATGTTTGACGGGGCACACATTTGGAATTCTTTACCAACCGAAATTAGAGAGAGCAACTCCATCATGTCCTTTGAAACTAAAATCGCTACTCACATTTTTGAATACTCACATTTTTGAATAGCATTATTATTCTTATACTTATATAATTATGTATGTATATATATATATATATATATATATATATACATATATACATATATATATATATATATATATATATATATATATATATATATATATATATATATATATATATATATATATATATATATATATATATATATATATACAGGGTGTATCCAAATAAACGCAATTCATCTTTTGTGCTTAATAACTTTCGAAATACTATCTCTAGTTAAACGCTTTTAGGCTTACTTCAAAGCCTGTTCTTTTCTCTTTCAAACAAACTATTATCCTTATCTCCAATGCTAGTAATGATTGCACAGGAAAAGATTTAGTAAAACCTATCATTTTTAGTTGCTCTTTAATTATGCAAGTCTACTATGTTATTGTTTAGTAGGTTTAAATGTTAGAATTTTCTTCTTTAAACTTTAATGTTGTCGTCATTACATCTGGAAAACCACGTAAGAACAAATTAAAAGTATTTTAAAAGAGACCAGGTTGTTTGAAAATCCCAAACGAACGCTAAAAATCATAGAATCAAAACATTCGGGTGTCTGAGCCAGAGTGTCATCGAATTGCGATGTAATGTAAACAGAAATTATAGCAAGCTGATGTCAGTCAGCTTAGATGGTCCAAGCCAAAATTATATCGCATTTGAAGTTTCAAACTGAGTTAAAAATAGTGGAAGAAAAGCCGTAATTATACTTATTGTTGCAATCCATTTAATAAAATGCAACATTTTTTTGTTTTAATGAAAAAATCAGTTATTTTCATGAGAACGATTTGTTATTCCATCTCATTTTTTTTAATCTCCAATCGCAATAACGTAAAGTATTATTACCCGCGAACCAATGAGTCAAATTTAAGAAACAACCCATTGTTAGAAAGCTAAATGGCTACGCTTTAAAATGAATGTAAACTTTAACGTTTTCGTCTATTATTTGTTTAGCAATTTACATTTCAGTCGAGGATTGCGTTTTTTTTTATACACCCTGTATATATATATATATATATATATATATATATATATATATATATATATATATATATATATATATATATAGAGGATATTTCACGGTGGCACGGAAATATGACTTTTATTTTCGAGTGATATTGTTTTCAACACGAGAAAATAAAAGTCATATTTCCAAAGGCACCGTGAAATGTTCTTTTTATTATATGGATAAAAGTTGAAGCAAAAACAACAAAACGTATGACTTTATTAGTTTATTCAAGTTTTGTTTTTTGTTTTGTAGCTCACCGTACGGCAACAATGTTTATGTCTCTCCGCTTGCTAATCGAGGCTAAATAGTCGCTGAAGATCGCCAAATAGGACCAATTAGTCTTCCTTTTTGTGTTTTCAATTTCTTCAGAAAACCTTGCCAAATCAGCGTCGAAAACATCAACAAAATGTCGAGAAGTTGTCATATTGTATATTCAAAACAGAAACGGCAAAATGGCGGGAATTAGCGTGGGTCCCGCGCGAGACGTTCCCGCGTAAGATATGATTTCATATTTCACTATAGTGAAATACGGAAAATATCAGTGGCGTATTTTACGGTATTTTACTCATATCCATATAATAAATATATATATCTTACTGTATGTAATATCTTACTATATACTATATCTTTGTAATTTTATTATTGTACACGCCCCTTGTGGATATCAGCCTAGGTTGACAATGGTTAGCGTGTTTAAATAAAAGTTTCTATCTATCTATCTATCTATCTATCTATCTATCTAATCTGCTAAATAATTTGTAACAATAAAATACTTCTAGAAATTTTCAAATTCATACTACGCCTTTTACTTGATGGAAATCATCACAAATAGTATGTAGTACTATGTACGAGACTACGAGGTTGGGTTCATTGTCCTGAAGTCGAAAGTCGAAACATCGCGTCATCGCCTCCTCGCGACCGCGGCTATTTATATGATGCGATATAAAAGAAGTTTGATGTACATTCGACGTAATATATAAACGTAACATATTAAAAAGAAAGATTACAACAAAAAATAAAAGAATATAAATAATCCCCGGCAATTCAAGTTCTATTCATGAACTTTTCGTTGCCCCCTGTCTTTATTACCATAAAGCCCGCTCGCAGGCTAATACTCCAAGAATCGTGCCTGACACGTGACCAGCGTTTACCAGGGCTAGTCTTGGGTACGAGGTTGACTAACAATTGCTTGATTATACGTTTCGCTCCTACCTTCATTGAAATAAATTGAATGGGATGTCTGCAAAATTTATCGTATTAAAAGAATTTTCTATTACAGATTTTTGCTTTGTTATTTCGTCGAACAAGAACGTAAGTTCGCATGGGCCTACGGTAGGGAAAAGATTAGGGGGCGTGGAAAGAAATTTTCCCGATTTTTTCGGATTAATAATAATAATAATAGACTTTATTTAAAGAAGGTATTACGAAAACCAGTTTAGCAAAGCTAATCTTACACTGGGCCTTCTATAACTACGACTATTAACAAACAAACAAACAAATATATTAGGTAACGTGGGGAAAAAGAAGATATATGGTATATATATATATATATATATATATATATATATACAATAGATTACATATGACTACGTTTAAACTGTTTCTAAAATTAAAAGTATTGATATGTTTTTATTTTGAATGATGCTACCGAAGAAGAGTTTCTTATCTCAAGTGGTAAACTAATGTAAAGTGTTGCACCACTGTATGGTAGTGACTTTCGTCTGATTGCCAATTTATTCCTTGGTAATTATAACCACAAATCATTGTCCGCAGAACGTCTGGTGACTCGATTAGTCACTGACGACTTCAGTTGAAATAATTCTCAAATGTATTCCGGTACCAATTGGTTTCGAGCCTTGAATACCATAATCGCGGTTCGTAGCTTGACTCTTTGCTGTATAGGTAATACTTTAGCTGCTTTAAATAGTGGTCCTGATGATGTTAGTGTTGGTTGATCATAAACAATTCTCATAGCCAATTTTTGAAGCTTGTGTATTCTTGTAACGTCAGTCGATTGACCCTAAACTGTCGAACAATAGTCGACGTGAGGTTGTAAAAAACATTTATAGTAAATAACTCTGAACTCTGGATTGTGCTCGAGTTGTCAAAAACATTTTCCGGAGGAACTTTCCAAAATTGTTGTCGACGGGGGGAGGAGTGATTACGAAAAAATCCTATTATTTCCCACAAAATTGACAGAATTTGTCCCATTTATTTTTATAATAAGCCGATATTGAAGAACTAAACCAACTGTGAGGCGAATATTGCCCGACTGGCTCATGTTAATGTTCGTTCCCGCCGACAAAAATATCTTTTGAATTTTCTTACAGTAAACTAAGTGCATTCTTTAAAGCATTTAATAATGCATTTACTAAAAGGGGCAGCTACATTTAGTAAATGCACGAGCCGCTTGTTCAAAAGTCGATTAGTGCCAAGCCAGAGTTAGAATCTCCCAATCCAGGGTAGTAGATAGTCTTAACCCAGGGTTAAAATTGCATGATGCAAAGTTAATTCATCCACCCACAATCTTGGACATAACTGGTTGAGACTATTTTCCCCCTGTATACAAATTAAATTCACATGTTTTTATGACAAAACTTCACGTTGAATCATGTTGCCCTTCGTAAGTCCCCGCTCTCCCAACTCAATGTTATGCTTGCGTCATGGTATATTACCAAAAGTTGTTTCGGCGTTGTTTACAACATTGAACTTGGGGGAGGGGAGACTATCGGGGTAAACATTAAAAGTAAACATCGAGACACATGCATTGGAATCTAATTCAATTATGTATAAATATCCCGCTTATAAGTGTTGCAATATATATAGATATTTTGCATTGCGTCATTTGTTCTATATATAGTTTACGAGCTTCAAACTTGCTTTTCAAACTTATAATTTAACCCGAATTTTTTTATATAATGGTTAGCCAGCTATAATCTTTATCGTAAGTTGATAAAAGAACGGTAAACGGGACATTACAACGCCAAACGGCGACTCGAATATAAAACAATGACTGTATATATCGAGAGCTTTCATTTACTACTGTATAGCTAGAAGTATACATTTATTTAAATAATTGAAATATTAGTAATTGATCAACACTAAACGCAGGCTCGCATTTACGTCAATGTTGCCCGCATTTACGTTATGTTTATGCGCGGGTGTTAGAGTGGGCGCTATGCGGGCAAACATTTACATACAAAGAATTCAGTTTTAAAACACATACGGGTTTTTTACAAAGCAAATTATGTCCATTCCCGTGGAGTTTTCTCTAATATTTATTCTACCATCATGGCACTAATATTTTAAACAGTTCTCGTACATTTCTTATCCGGAGTCACTGTCACTGACTCACTACCTTCGTTTGCATCAGGAGAACGAATGTCTTTGAAAGGATTTTCATAAGATATTGTCTCTTATCAATGGCAGCCTCTAATGCTTCGATCCTCTTTGTCAAAGTTATTTAAGAAATAGAAAACATCTTCCGTATTTCTGTAGAGTTATAGAAACACGCGTAGAAGTTTGGGAGAAACGAGAAGTTTCCATTTGTTTTAAAACAATAAAAAGATAAATTTATTGAATTGAACTACAATTCATTCAAATACTAATTCTATCTTAATATACGTTCGTGTAAAGAATAATCAACCATAGCCAAGTAAACAAGTACAGTACGGTATACCGTTGATAGGTGTTGCATGTTGATCTCCTACCACGGGACCTCCTTACGGGAGATGGAAATTAGGGGGAACGTTGTTGTTTACGTGTAATGGGACACGAACATATAGATATATAGATATAGTGATATACACAAAGAAATGGACTAATATAACATAAATAAGAACTTTACATGGTGACAGAAGTGGGATCCTTGACTCTGGATATTTAGTTAGTACATTTGAGAAGTTTTAAAAAGTAATTTTACTCAAACGAACAATAACCAGTGGCGATGGCTAAACGAATAATTGGGCTATCGCCTCCGTCTCCGTTCGCGTTCGAAGGAAATCTTGCTGAATCGTGGAAGCAATGGCAAAAGGCCTTGGACTTTTACCTAACAGCTACGGAATCGGATTCAAAATCTGACAAGGTAAAAACTTCAATTCTCTTGACGTGTATAGGCGAAAAAGGGCGCGAAATTTATGACACTTTTGAGTTTGAAAATGCTGGCGACAAATTGAAACTAAAACCTGTTCTCAAGAAATTTGAAGAGTATTGCAATCCTCGTAGCAACACTACCTTTGAGAGACACAAGTCTTTTACATACCGCCAGGAAGAAGGACAAACTTTTACTAGCTTTGTGACAGAACTGAAGAAACGCAGTGCAGCGTGTGAATTCGATACTTTGAAAGACTCGCTTATTAAAGACATGATCATTTGTGGTATCTCTGACAATGCCCTTCGTGAGAGAATGCTTCGTGAGCCTAACATCAATCTACAAAAGCAGTCGAGCTTGGTCAAGCCTCCGAGCAAACCAAACTACATGCTCAGCAACTTACTGAAGACATGGAAAAGAAAATCCACAAAGTACACAGGCAAAAGCGAGAGAAGGAAAGGCGAGACAAAAACCGAGATAGGTTTAAATCTCATTCTCCAGAAAGAGATAATTTAATAAAGAACTGCAAATTTTGTGCAGGTCGACACCAACGTGGAAAATGCCCGGCGTATGGTCAAAAGTGCAACAAGTGCCAACGTAGAAATCACTTTGCCAGGTGCTGTAAACAAACAGTGCATCAAGTCGATGACTCTCAAGATCGTGCCTCCTTTGAATCCTCTTCAGAAAGTGATTTTGTTATCGAAAGCCTCGTTGCAACTGAATCTGAAGCAGCCTCTGAGGTTCAACAAGCACTTAAAATTGATCCTCTCAATAGCGACACCTCTGCGGGACACTGGTCTGTCACTCTTAATGCAGGCAGCCAAGACATTCCCTTCAAAATCGACACAGGGGCCCAAGTGAACGTGTTACCCAAGAAACTCTACAACAAGTTAAACCCTCGCCCACGAATCAAACAAACATCAACCAAGTTGTCCGCCTACAATGGGTCCTCCATCCCTGTACATGGAAAATGTATTGTCCCTATTCAGTATAAAGGACAAAAACACCACCTTCTCTTTATCGTCGTAGCTTCACAGACCACACCCATCCTAGGTTTGGCCACTTCAGAGCGACTCAATTTAATCAAGCGGGTCTACAAAATAACTGATACTAACATTGAGGAAGCTTATAGCTCCAATATATCTGAAGAGTACGCTGACTGTTTTGGAGAGATTGGCACACTCAAGTCCACCTATCACATGACCTTGAAAGATGATGTCCGTCCAGTAGTGGTACCTCCTCGAAAAGTACCGTTTGCTCTTAAAGATCGACTGAAGAAGGAATTAGACCGCATGGAGAGCATGGGTATAATTGAAAAAGTCGAAAAATCCACAGACTGGGTCAACGCCTTAGTTCTTGTCGAAAAACCCAACGGAAAGCTTCGCGTTTGCCTAGACCCGCGTCCATTAAACCAAGCAATCAAACGCCAACA